GTGTAACTGCCTGTAACTCGATCGCAAACTACACACTTTTCGCCTTTTGGGTTCTGTTTCGGTTGAGTTTTGCATTCATATTTTTGTTTGCTCGGCGCACAAATTTCAGCTTTCTTCTTTCTTTCTGCTGATATGGCCAAAAAAGTTTCTGCTTCTACCCCTTACCTTCAAGGAATAATTCACGGATAATACACTACGTTTTGTTTTTTGTTATTGGATATCGCTTTCGATACATTTGCGTGTGTATGTCACCAAGTGCAAGCCGGTGGGAATTATAAAAAAGTGGGCAAAGCAGAACGGGAAAAGTTATTATGTAACTTTTAAAACTGTTTTGCAAATAAAAAGAGGAACAAATATGAATAAGTCTTGAAGAGACAAAGTGCAGCGCAGAAGAAAAACGAGAGTGGAAAAGCCGCCAAAGGAATGGATGCAAATATATAGTCTAAATAATAATGGGCGTTTTTAAACAGCCAAAGAAAAAAAGTGTAGTTATACTTAAGTGTCAGTGATGGTGCAATAAAATATAAAAGAGAAACCTAGTTTTCGCAAGCTAAAAATCGATCTTGAGCATAAAAGATCAAAGTTATATTAGTTTCGCAAAGTAAAGTTCTTTTAATGGAACAAGTGCATATATTATGCAGCTAATATAACTACTTTAGCTGCTAATTACCAAAGTTGTGCGCCAGATTCAAAAGCTTAAATTACAAATCAGCTGCGGCGAAATCGTGAAGTGTGCAAAGCAAAAGTGAAGAGAAAAAATATAAAAAGAATAGTGCAATAGCTAGAACATCCGCAGTGACAAAAATACCAGAAAAAAATTGCCGCGCCAAAAAGATAAGGAAAAACCCAAGGATGAGATACGAGGAAAACAAGTTGAGATACTTCTCGCTAAAAGAAAAGTGCATTCAACCAAAAATTTGAAAACAAATTACCTGGGGAGGGATTTTCCTCCACATGCTTATAATAGAAATTGTAATTTTTATAAAATGTATTAATATGCAGAAGGCATTTTAAAAGTCTACTCTTTGTGTGATTTGAGTTTATTGCGTTTGTTTACTGTGAATTTCAGAGCCAATAAAGTGGCATTGAGCCTACAGTGTTTGTGTTAGCTATTATCAGATAATAGTACATTTGTACGCATTAGGAAATTATGGTTTTGAAATATTTTTAGAATCAGCAAGGCAAAATTGTGCGAGTAGACTTATTTTAATTTCGCCAGATTGATTATATTTTTTACATAGTTCAGCATTTTCAAGTGGGTGCATTCAATATAATCGTCTAAATAAAAATTACCTAATTACAAGAATTTCCAGATGCTGAAACCAGCTAGGTAATTTGCCAGTCGCTTTGCAACCCTACTTTTTCCATTTGTTTTATTTAAATTTTTGTTGCATTTTTTATTGTTGGCTGACAAGTCTCAGGTCTCGGATGTGGCGTCTTTTTGAGTTTTTGAAACGTCATCGTCAGCGTTTGACTGCCCCGAGTATCTGTGTGCCAGTCTGCCAGTGTGTGTGTGTGTATGTGAGGGTGTGAGTGCGCGTGTGCATTTGTGCAGTGGTGTGTGATCATGCGGCAGTCGCACACGCTCTCAGTAAAAGTTACTTCAATTGACAACTAAAAACTATGAGCACATGCAAAAAGGCTTTAAACATTACAAGTGATACAACTTCGTTACTTGTTTTTGCATTTATTCGAATGAAATGGGTCCCAATTGCGAAATGCCACTAAATAATTAATGCAGTCAGCTGCAATTTCTGGCTATTTTTGCCATTGCTTGGAGAGAGTATACTTCATTTCCACCAAGAGCAAATATGGCTTGTTGGTGATACGGTGAGATAAGCAACTGATTGGAAACTGCTCCACGTCTATTCTATTAAAATTTAGGTAGTTGGAAACAAATAACAATAACTTAAGGAAAGCCTTAAGTTGAACGCAATTATATAAAAAAAACACTGCAATATCTAATGACTAATAGCTGGAGACGTTTGAACTTATAGCAAAAGGAATTATCTTAAGAAAAGAAAACTCTAGACTGAAAATATTTAGACTTATGATTTTGTATGATGGGTTTCTGTCCCATTAAGTGAAATCGAACTAGTTTTTAATTACTCAGAATTTAATCGATACTAAATGGAAGTCGTTAAAAATATCCAGTTGGATATCACTGGAACTGAGAAAATATTATTCATTTAGAACCTAAAAATCCTCTCAAGTTGCAAATAAATTTTTAAGGTCCTTTAGCCAGCTCTAAATGAAATTAAAAAATTATTATAAAGAGCGAATAATGTGATGATGAACTGATGATATTGCGCAGGCTGCAATTATTTAGTGCTCATCACATTCGATAATTTGCTATTAGATCGTTAACCGTTAAGGGAAATGAACAAATTCAAGATCCGTTTGCAACAAGTTAACTAGAAAACCACGTAAAAATAACCTTTAACCCTTTCGGAATTTTGTAGATTGTTATTAAGTGTCGTCTAGGTAAAACAACAAACGAACGTTGAAATAAATCAATGAATGACCAAAGGTAAAAATAAAATAGTAGTGAACAATTTAATTAAGTCGAGTTTAAAACAACAAACGCTTGAGCGCGACGAAAAGTATTACAAGTTTTGCGGAACGAGAAATAGAAGGCGAGGAAGAAAAGCTGCACAACGGGTCGTATGAGTACTGAGTATTATCACTCACACACGGACACTATGTTGTAATCGCAATGCAATTAGCATTGCCGAGCAAAAGCTCAAGTTCACTGACAAAGAAATCCAGCGAAAGAGAGAGAGAGAGATATGGGGTGCATATATATATATGTAGGTAACCCACACATCGGTAGTATGCGATACTTTCTGTAACTGAGCGAAGCTTTACAAATGCAATCAAATGACGTTAGTTCCCGCACTTGCAGTGCGCCAGAGCGAGACAGAAATGGCCAGGCAGTGCAAGTGAGCGAGACGGGGCGACTGCCGACGACAGAGAGGGCCAGAGATATGGCCACTATATCTCCCGACGTCGTGAGTAGGTCAGTCAACGATCTTCGCCTGGGTTGAGTAAACCTGACACTCCAACCGGCTTTCTGTGCTTTTCCTCCACTACGACTGAGGCACTGGCTTCCGCATTGCAAATGTGCATATGTTAGATGTACATAGATGTGTTCAATGTCATCAAATACATCAAATACATCAGCTTCTATTTGCAATGGATGATAGATGCTCTATCATATATCATGTACTGTCTGCAATTCGATGATGGCTTCAAAGCTGTTTAGTGCAGTTCAATTCGCTGGGTTGAAGGCCAAAAGAGATTGGAAAAGCTGAGCTGAACGATAGTAGAATCGGTCGAAAGGTACACTTACATTTTCATAAGTACGACTTGATGTAATCATTTAAGCTGCTCAGATCTATTTAGAAGTCACTAATGATTTCGGAAGAGTTATTAACTCGTCACTCAGCAACTTTAGATCACCCATTCAATCATGTGGGTTTGAGATTGATGGAGTCTGCATTTTAGAAAGTGATTGATAGTCCTTCTACTTGAGCTGTACAAGGTACTTGCAACTAGTGGCAGTTGGTCTTCTTATAGACAGCTTAAAGCGAGGCAATGCATCTGTTTGCTTTGACCCAATAATTCCAGAGTTTATAATTGAGTAGCCAAGTTGTAATTGGACCACATTCCTCGGGGCAAAGCTAGCTTATTGAATAGTAATACCTGACACCCTCCCTATATGTCTCCATCTTGACCCTTTTCTTGGCTGCTTTTTTGCACTTTGCGCAAACCAAGCCAACCGCACTAATTGCAACACGAGCCATTAAGCGAGCCATTGGCAATTATCTGGCAGCATTTGAAGTCTGGGTCTGGGTCTGGGCCAACAGCTACTTACGGTTAACCAGCAACACTTGGCCAACAGGAGCGGGACACTTTTCGGCCTTTGATGTGTATTTAAAATGCTCGCCAGCCGTGTATACATGTGGGAAATTATGAGCTGCACTTTGGGGTTCCTTGGTCAAACGGAAAGGTAAACGGATTAATTACCACTGGCACTGGCACGGCAGATGTAAAGCTGGCTAATTTTAAGCTGCTTTGCACATTTTAATTAAACACAGATTTTTCGTCAATGCGCCAGCTTTAAATGAGTGGCGGCTTGAACGTCACCGGCTTTCCGTGTATCCAGCACAGGGTATCCAGTCCTAACCCCTTCCAACTGGTCGAATGCATTTAACAGGCTTGCAGAACCTTTGACATTTGCTGAAAAGTTTTCAAGTCGTTGTTTGGCAAGAAATTGCTTTTTGCTTTTCGCCGAAGCCCCTTAAATGCTGGACCGTCAATTAACAGTGAATAATTTTGCGTGCGCTAAGGAGGATTGCCTCCTTAGGTGCAGGAAATGATGGAAAAGTGTGGAATTAAAAGAAATCAATAGACAGACGTGCAAGCAGGGAGCATTACGCAATCGAAGCGTGTATGCCAGCTTATTTTTAGCTGGAAAACAGAAAACATGCCCAGCATCCGCACTCAAAATCCCGCTGCAGCCAGGCAATTGGCAATTGGCAATTGGCTGGCAGCTGCCCCACTCAGCTGCCTGGTTGGGGTTAAGCGAATCCACCCAGTCCATGCGAACACCTTCCTCCAACCACCGAGCAGTGGTTGTTATGGCATTCGGTGAACGCATTTTGTAACATGACAAAATAGCGTAGCATACATTTCAGGGGTTGCAAATGTGCAACATTGATTGGCACGGCCAACTGGCAAATTGGCCACGGGGCCTCCAACTGGGGAGCCTGCGCAGGCGCAGCTTATTCAGTTACATAACCTGGCGATGCCCGATTCGAAAAGGATGCTGGCACCTGGCGATACCAAACCGAAACGGAAACCGAAACCGAAACAGAACCACAACTGCACTTGTTGCTGGCACAGCGCGGCGTTTGGCGATAGCTTCGGGACAAGAAACGCGTCGGGAAAAAATGAAAAAATTCAACAGTAACAAAAAAATCTACGGAAATTAATCAATTACCCAAAACCTAAACCATTGCAGTTATTCAAAATGTGGCATATTGAGCATATGGAAATCAATTGTTGCGTGAACATTACCTGAACTTTTGGACCAAAAACAAGGGCGCACATGAACAAAATGATGTGAGCGTGTAGTTAATTTGTGGCATTTGTGAGCAAGTCTTCAAAAGAAGTGGAAGTTTCGAACTTTCTTCGGTTCTTCTCGTTGCCCATTTCATATTTTTTCCGGCACCTGTTTAATTATTGTGCGGCTCGAGGTGGACTATCCTACAGATCCGAAAATGGACGACGAGAGCGACGACAAGGATGATACAAAAAGGTAAGTTCTGTAGACATTTGGTACGCACACTTATGCATTCGTTAGACGATAGACAAATCCGCAAATCCGTGGGCCATCTGCAAGTGACAGTTGACAAGAAGTAAGAAAATAGACGTGTATATGGCGTGCTTGCAAATTTTCCACTAGGTGAAAGTGAAATGTCCCCCTTTTATTGTTTATTTTATCTCATCCATAACTGTATTGGGATTTATTTGCTGTCGTCAAATAAAAAATCCCTGCCTACCACAGCCAATTTTGATGGCCCACACCCTCGGCTACAATCAATGGAAGCCAACTTGTGGTAACTCAATTCCTTGATCCGTTTTTCCTGCGGCCAACCTCAATGAATTGTAATTCGAGTGCGAATTCGATTAGCTCGCGCAATAATTAATTTCACCTGATGACGCTGTTCAATTGGTGAGCGTACGAGTATCTGGAAAATTCGACGAGCTTGTCGCATAACAGCAAATGCAAGAAATTAGTTATCAAATTTCGAGGGTGGCTGAATGAAATGCTTCCTAATACGAGGGCGTCTTTGTGCAAACTGGTGTATTGCACCTTAAAAACTACCATCATATTTTCCTAACAACGTAGTTACTTTTCATGACGCACAGAAGAATAGTTAGCGAACTTCCAGCGCATTTCTGTTATTTCATTTATTCGCTTTTAATGAATCAACCTTTAGGTTTTTTCTGGGTAAGCTCAATTATGACATACAGCACTAAACATTATGCAACTTAAGTTGCCATTCTACTTCGTTTTCCCATCTGTTTTCCATCTGGGCATGGAACTCTAGGACTTTTACGTTCAATTGACTTTAATATGATTTGGTAAGCCCAGGCTGACTGGTCATAAACCACGAGCACCATGCTCAGAAACTGACAATAGCAATAAACCCGAAACTCAGCTCATCCAACAGTTAGTGACATGCAAATGTCAATGGCAGGCTGCTAAAGTTAACTGTAGCGCAGAAAATTGAAAGCGACAAAGGGCACACAACCCTTGTCCTTCGTATCCCTAAAAAACCGGGTTGGTGATAGCATATGGGCATATGTGGCTAATCAACGCCAGACAATGCCTCAATGGACTCGGCACACGTGGGTCACGAACGCACTCACCTGGGGGTGGCAAGCCCAGTTGAATGTGATATACTTACGTGCATTGAACGTGTGACGCTGTTAACCGTAAATGCATCTTATTGATTATTTGTAACTCATAGCTTGCTTTGCAGGAAGTCGCGTAATCTCAGCGAGAAGAAGCGGCGGGATCAGTTCAACTCGCTGGTCAACGATCTGAGCGCCTTGATATCCACCACCAGCAGAAAGATGGACAAGTCCACGGTGCTGAAGTCCACGATTGCTTTTCTGAAGAATCACAATGGTAGGCTCACTGCGGTCCCACTGCTAACTCACTCAACTCTCAAATGTTTGATATCAGAGGCCACCGATCGCTCCAAGGTTTTCGAAATACAACAGGACTGGAAGCCCGCGTTCCTCAGCAACGATGAGTACACCCATCTGATGCTGGAGTCCCTCGATGGCTTCATGATGGTCTTCAGCAGTATGGGCTCCATCTTCTACGCCTCGGAAAGTATTACCTCCCAGCTGGGCTATCTGCCGGTATGTTGAGAACTACAACCCTTAGAAGGCCTAATCAATACAGTCAGTTTACTGAAGTAACTTTTCTTTTGACACAATGCTGTGTTCAGCTTTTATGTTTGTAATTGTAGTACCATAAGCAAAACATCCAAATCAGCAGGTTTTAAATTAAAGAACACAGTGGGGAAACACGATTTATAGTAAGCCTAGAGAGTTCGTTCAGTTGACAACTTGTACCTGTTCGGCAAATAAGTAAATTCGAGAGCAATTAAAAGATAAATTATTCGTACAAGATGTCTGCGAAATTAAAAATAGTGGCAGTGAATGTTCACTGCACAAACGTGTCCTCGGACAATCCTTCCCGCATGGAAATGCTATCCTGGGTGAACGATACTCTGAAGTCGCAGCTTTCCAAGGTCGAGGAGCTGTGCACCGGAGCGGCCTACTGTCAGTTGATGGATATGCTGTTTGCCCAATCGATTCCGCTGCAGCGAGTCAAGTTTCGCACCAACCTGGAGCATGAGTACATCCAAAACTTTAAGCTGCTGCAGGCATGTTTCAATAAGGTCTGTGTGGATAAGATCATACCCATTGACCGGCTGGTCAAGGGTCGATACCAGGATAACTTGGAGTTCCTGCAGTGGTTTCGCAAGTTCTTCGATGCCAACTATGAGGCGCGACCATATGATCCCGTGACCGCTCGGAAAGGAGCAATTATGGGTCTGGGCTCAGCTCCCATTGATACTAGGATGCATAGGGATGCGCCTAAGTGCAATCCTCAAACCAAAACCGCCGAAGGAGCCGCAGAGCGGGCATATCAAGCTGCTAAGGACGAGTTGCACGACTATTGTGAATATCTGCCTATAATGACAAGGGAGAGGGATTTCTACTTATCGAAACTAAGAGATATTGAACAACTTTGCCTGAAGTTCAATAGTGGCAAGAATAGGGAAATATCAGAGAAGATTACTAAGATTATTTACGCCGACTAAGAGTTCAGTACAAAATAACACTAGTTCAAACCGTTTCAGAAGCAAAATTCACAGTGTTGTAGCGATGCAGTTTGTTTAAAATTCAACAGTGAAATTGTCAATAAATTTTAAATAGGTATAGGAATCTTATGGAACTTGAAAAAAAAAGGAGTTATGGGATTAAATATTTTATTTGTGTGATGTGCAAAGTAAAGGACCTGAGTTGCATTTCCAAAAGTAAATATTCGTTCCCATTGAAACTCAGTTCTCCCTTACCTTTCCCGCTTTCCAGCAAGATCTGTACAACATGACCATTTATGACCTGGCCTACGAGATGGACCACGAGGCGCTGCTGAGCATCTTTCTGAATCCCACACCGGTAATCGAGCCCAGACAGACGGACATTAGCTCCAGTAACCAGATCACGTTCTACGCCCATTTGAAACGCGGCGGGATAGAGAAAGTGGATGCCAATGCCTACGAGTTGGTCAAATTCGTGGGCTACTTTCGTAGGTAGCCGTGCACAGAGTTTGGGTCACCTCCACTGATGCTTATCCCTTAGGTAACGATACCAATACCTGCACGGCTTCCAGTGCGGAGGTTTCGAATGGCTCGAATGGACAACCTGCGGTGCTGCCGGCCATCTCCCAGCAGAATTCCAATTCGGAGGTGGACAAAAAGCTGGTTTTCGTGGGCACTGGACGCGTACAGAATCCCCAGCTGATCCGGGAAATGAGCATTATCGATCCCACCAGCAATGAGTTCACCTCGAAACACAGCATGGAGTGGAAGTTTCTGTTTTTGGATCACCGAGCACCGCCCATCATTGGCTACATGCCCTTCGAGGTTCTGGGCACTTCCGGCTATGACTATTACCATTTCGATGATCTGGACAATATCGTGGCGTGCCATGAAGAGCGTAAGTTTCATTTAGCAAACAAGCCACAAATTTCATTTCACTTAACATTGTAGTAAGGCAAACGGGTGAGGGCAAGTCCTGCTACTACCGATTCCTCACAAAGGGCCAACAGTGGATATGGCTGCAAACGGACTACTATGTGAGCTACCACCAGTTCAATTCCAAGCCGGACTACGTGGTCTGCACCCACAAGGTTGTCAGCTATGCCGAGGTGCTAAAGGACGGCCGAAAGGAGGCTAAAAAATCCGGAAAGAGCAGCACTAGCACCACCAACAATGGGAGCAGTAAGGTCATTGCCTCCGCGGGAACCAGCAGCAAATCCGCATCTGCCACCACAACACTGAGGGATTTCGAGCTGAGCAGCCAGAAACTGGACAGCACATTGCTGGGCAATAGTCTGGCCAGTTTGGGCAATGAAACGGCAGCCACTTCGCCCGCCGTGGACTCATCGCCCATGTGGTCCGCGTCGGCTGTCCAGCCGTCTGGATCGGGCCAAATAAATCCGCTGAAGACATCGCGTCCCGCCTCGAGCTATGGCAATATCAGTTCCACAGGTATATCGCCGAAGGCCAAGCGAAAGTGCTACTTCTACAACAACCGGGGGAATGACTCGGATTCCACGTCCATGTCGACGGATTCGGTCACCAGTCGGCAGTCCATGATGACGCACGTCAGTTCGGTGAGTATCCAACTAGACTACAGCTCATTAAGGAATTGGTTCAGATTTGGCCTTATAATTTCCATAGCAAAGCCAACGGCAGCGATCGCATCCCCGAGAAAATCATCACAATCAGTCACATCATCACATGCAGCAACAGCCACAGCAGCAGCAGCAGCATCAGAGTCAGCCGCAGCAGCCGCAGCAGCAGCAGCATCAGCAGCAGCAGCCCCAGCAGCAGCAGCAGCCGCAGCAGCAGCACCAGCCACTGCAGCAGCAACTGCAGCATACAGTGGGTGCTCAGAAAATGGTGCCCCTGCTGCCGATTGCGCCCACGCAAATCATGGCTGGAAATACGTGCCAGTTTTCCCAACCCACCTATCCGCTGGCTAGTCCCCAACTTGTGGCACCCACATTCCTGGAGCCGCCACAATATCTCACCGCCATACCCATGCAGCCGGTGATCGCTCCGTTTCCGGTGGCGCCAGTTCTATCGCCACTTCCGCAGGCCCAACCGGATATGCTGCCCGACACGGTGGTGATGACGCCCACACAGAGTCAGCTGCAGGATCAGTTGCAGCGGAAGCACGACGAGCTGCAGAAGCTGATTGTGCAGCAGCAGAATGAGCTGCGGATCGTCTCGGAGCAGCTGCTCCTGTCCCGCTACACGTATCTGCAGCCCATGATGTCGATGGGATTCGCACCAGGCAGCATGACATCAACGGCGGTGGGTAACTTGGGAGCAGGTGGCCAGCGGGCGGTGAACTTCACCGGCAACAATGCCGTGCAGCCGCAATTCAATCAGTATGGATTCGCCCTGAACTCGGAGCAGATGCTCAACCAGCAGGATCAGCAGATGATGATGCAGCAGCAGCAGAATCTGCACACGCAGCACCAGCACAATCTGCAGCAGCAAAATCAGAGCCACTCGCAGTTGCAGCAACACAACCAGCAGCAGCATCAGCAGCAGCAGCAGCAGCATCAACAGCAGCAGCAGCAGCAACAGCAGCAACAGCAGCAACAGCAGCAGCAGCAACAACAGCAACAGCAGCAGCAGCAACAGCAGCAGCATCAACAGCAACAGCAGCAACAGCAACAGCAGCAGCAGTTGCAGCCACAACAGCAGCTGCAGCCGCAACAGCAGCAGCAGTTACAGCTGCAGCAGCCAAATGATATTTTGCTGCGCGAGGATATCGATGACATAGACGCCTTCCTCAATCTGTCACCCCTGCACTCCCTGGGCTCGCAATCCACCATTAATCCCTTCAACTCCAGCAGCAATAACAACAATCAGAGCTACAATGGTGGAGATAATCAGAATAATGGCAACCAGAGCAACAACAATCGCAGTTCAAATCCCCCGCAGAATAACAATGAGGACTCTCTGTTGTCATACATGCAAATGGCCACCGAATCGAGTCCTTCAATCAACTTTCACATGGGCATCAGCGATGATGGCTCCGAGTCGCAGGGCGAGGATAACAAGATGATGCACAGTTCCAGCAGCAATCTGGTGCAGCAGCAACAGCAGCAGCAGCAACAACAACAGCAGCAGCAGCAACAGCAGCAGCAGCAGCAAATCCTGCAGCAGCAGCAGTCAAACAACTTCTTCAGTTCGAATCCCTTTCTCAGCAGTCAGAATCAGAACCAAAATCATTTGCCAAACGATCTGGAAATATTGCCCTACCAGATGTCCCAAGAGCAATCACAGAATCTATTCAACTCTCCTCACGCAGCCCCAGGCAGTAGTCAGTAGCCGGTGCCCACTGTATATAACTCTCTTTAGCGATAGGAAAAGTTAGGATTGTAAGAACTCCAGGCAACCCATATATCCACATATCCGTGTATTACCAAGTTTGGCCTCTGGCTCTCTTTATCGAACCTCCTCTTTTGGAAGCCCAGAGCTAGTTGTAGATCTCAACAGACTGAGTATTGTCCCACCCCGCCCCCTTCATGTGTTATATATCACCTAGATGTACTATAGAAAAAGTTCTCAAAATAATCCATGGTAAGCTCTAAATCGTTGTACATAATGTTATGTTTAGTTTGTAGCAGGAGCCCATCGTTTCCATAGGTTAGCCTTATCCAGTAAGTGCCATCGAGGCGCAAACAGGGATCTCTGATACAAAATCGAACCTTAAAGCCTAATCCTAAGTTATTTGTATTCTAATATATTGAGAAGCGACTAACATGCGAACGAGTTGAGCAAAGCTAATCAAATTCCATATTATTTTCAAGACTGGGCTTCGTCATTGAGGTCAAAAATGATATTTATCGTACGATTTAGTTTTATTCTGTATGTATAACTCAAAACTCAGGTTGAGATTGCAACTGACATTTATTTTGCTGTGAACATATTCCCATAAGTTTTCTTTAGGCCCGATCTTTTTCGACAGCTGAAATGCCATTAGTTCAATCATTAACCCCATTTCCGCCTGCATTCCTATTTTGCTGTTGGAAAAGTTCGTTCGAATATGCTTCGATCTGCAGCTGATAAAGAGCCAAATGCTTTAAAACTTAGAACTTGTAAATGGAAACCAACTATCTTACACTCAACTACAACTACCTTAATAATTTTAGTTACTCAATGGTTAAGATTTGTACATACCTATAGAACGAGTCGGTAGAACTTGCTTAAGCCTGTAAATACGCGTACGATGAGGATACTATAGACCCATTTTGTACCTAACTGTTTATATGTTTTCCAAAAGAGCTCAACAACAACATCAAAAAGAAATCCGATTGACCATGCTAATTAAACCAAAAATCAAGAACCTTATCGATACAGAGTTGTAATAAAGCAAAACAAAAACAGTTACAGAAACTTAATTGCATGATTCCATTATTCATTATTCGATCAATCTTAATAGTAAGTAGAGGGTATTAAAAAATGTATATGAATCCACTTAGACGCGCAGCTTGGCAACGGCATTCTGGAGAATCTGGAACTCGGAATTGATGTTATCCATCAGATTCGAAATCTGCGGCTTCGAGTCGAGAACCTCAACGCTCTGAGTATAGGCATTGTACCGAACACCAAAGGGTCGGGGAATCGAGTTCGCAAATTTACTAAAAGTAGTTTCATGTTAATATCACGCATTTCTTTAGATACTCGTATGTTTAAACCTAGCAACGTACATGGTCTTCTCCTTGGCGGTCTCAAAACTATCGGCCACGTAGTACAGAGGCTGGAACTGAGTAATGGGATACTTGGTGACGCCAGTGACCTCCGGCTCAAAGTCCTTCAGCTGCGGCTTGTCCGTGAGGCAATACTCAAGTTCTCCGTAGGAGGACAGCAGACCAGCTCCGTACGCCTTCAACTCACCCTCCTGGCGGCACAAGCCGTACTCAACAGTGAACCAGAAGATCTGGAAGGAGTTCGCGTATCACAAAAGTTAAACTATAGGTTCAGAACAAGGAGCCGCTTACGGTGGACAGTTTCTCGATGTAATCATCGGGTGCGCCCAGGGAAGCCAACCCGATCTCCTGACTGAATTGAGCAAATGCTGGATCTGCGAAGAGCGGCACGTGGCCCATCAGCTCGTGGCAGACATCTGGTTCCGGGGTGTACATGGGCTTGCTGGGATGCCGGATATACTGGGTGGAGTGGAAGACGCGGAAGGCCAGGCCAGCCAGGAAATCCCGAGAGCTGAGTAGTCCAGCCACTGGACGCAGAGTGAAGCCGGTGCAATCTAAAAAGCAGCCGTTATAAGTTACGCATGCCATCTAATGGGCAGTCATCGAGCTAACCCCTCAAAAAGTTGGATACATCCTCCAGCTGGGGAATGTTATCCTCGCGGAAGCCACAGTTGTCCACCAGCAAGGGAAAGACGTGGTTGTACTCGCGACAGGCGTGGGTCTTGTACAGTTTCGTAAGATTCCTGAAGATAATGCCCCAGGTCTCGATCTCCTCCTTGGTGTAATCCACGTGGGGCAAAGGCTCGCCATGCTTGTAGTTGTAGGCTATATCGGCGAAGTACTTGCGACGCTTGCGGTATTCCGGATCGGTAAATCCGGGATGATCGGAGTCCAGTTCAGAACCGTAGCTCAGGATCTGGTTAGCGAAACGGTCCAGATCGCGTATACGCCGTGGAAACCAGGGCACAGCAGTCGCATTATCTTTGTAGTCACGCGAAATGATGTTAAAGTAGCTACACTGCTTCTTCACATCCTCGATAGCTTTTCCCAAGGAGCCGGATTTTCCATCGGCCTCCACGAAAAACTCGTAGCCGGGAACACGCAGCGAGGATCGCGACTCAATATGCACCAGGTTAATGTCGTGCTTCTTGAAGATGGCCAAAATGTTGGCCAGAGCTCCGCTGGATAACGAGGAATCCTTGGGCGAGAACAGCAGACAGGTGTTCCTGGCCTCCTGAATATCTACGCCCTCGACTATGTAAGCCGAATCCTCAATGCGCGTTGGCTGTAATCAATTCATTGTTGTTTAATATTAAATATTTACTTTTTATATTTTTGCTGCTCGGTAAAACAGCACTTGCATCATTGGAAATTTGACGGATTCACTCCAAGTGACCTGGGTTTTAACACCACTCAATCAAAACCATTTAATACTGATAATAATCCTCGCCATTCATGCCCTACACTTATGCACAGGCATACCCAATCTGCGAATCCCCTACTACAGAGGCTACCAGGCCCAAATCGCGTAATAACTTAGCCGAAGCCTTATATGAGCCAATTGTAATTGTAGCACTTGCAACTTATCTATAACATTGAGATTGTGTTTTCGCTTGAACCCCCGAAGGTTTAAGCCCGACCGCAATGGCAAATAGCGCATATTGCCAAGGACTCGGCCTAGAACTTGGTGTAACCTAACCAAGTAGTAAGCTTTGCAAGATCTTGGAACGTAAAAAGGTTTTCAAGCCTCACTCGCTCTTTATTAATAAAGTATCTTTATCTTATAGTAGAATAATATAGTAGAATGTTGTTTAATAATAAAGTATCTTACTTTTTAATTTCTTGCAAGTTATATCTTTTCTGGGAATTAAAACGGACTTGCTTGTATTTGCAATATATGCGGCTGACGTCTGAATTCAGGTTTTACTATATTAAACAAAACAAAAATGAAAAAGCCCCTGGGTCCAAAAAGCACTCTGTATTTCTTTGTCTAGAACTATTGCGAACTAACCCAATTCAATGACAGGTCTAATAGATTGCGGATCCGCTTTCTCATATCAATCAAAATAATAGAGTGATATTTATATATTTTATATTAAGTTTTTTCCTCAAAGGTTGGGAAAGTTCATGCTGCGAACGCAGAATAATAAACTTGTTATTGTTTTTACTTCATTAGGTAATTTACGGTTCACTCTCTACGCCAACAAACCTTATCAAAGGAGACCTGCCGCTGGTACATTTTCACAAGATTCTTGGGGTTTCTTCACTGAAACAACAAAACCGATGGCGAACGATCCGCTCAGCACACGACTTAAAACTGATTTAATTTCCCAGTAAATCGCGCGCTTAAATAGACTTTTCGATAGCTGAGCCCACGGCTGAGCCAAACGAAAACGAAAATCAATCCGATCTGAAACCAGTAAATAATAAAAATAATATCGCGGGCAATCGCGCGAGTGAATGTTCTTAGAACGACATCCACATGCGGTCCAATCGCGACTCTAGCTCTGCGGCTGCGGGGTTATCAGTGGCCAGTCCCGATGGGCCTCAAGACCCATTTCAGCTTATTACAGAAGCCGTCGTCCAGCCGATTGAATATACATGTTGAACTGAATATAAATACAGTCGAGCATCAAAATTCGTGAGAAAGGAACGCTTGATTTGGTAAATCAGGGAATTTTACAGTGTTCGGTTCCTGCGAATTGTAACGTGAGCACAGTGCTCTATAGATTCAAAGTGGATTCCAACAATGTTTCACATTTACTGCAGTTCACTTTCGGATGTTCCACTGTAGTTTGGAAATGAAATTCGGCCCTCTGCTGGGGTCCACATTACCAAAACAATAATTCAGCTAGTTTTAGATTTGCTTTGTTTTGCAAAAAATCATACTGAATAATCTGACCGGTGTTTTTTTTTCTAATGACAGGTTCTAACCAAACGAGTTCAACGGCATTTCAGGGCAATTATTTCAGTAGTAAATAGCTCCAAGTGGGCCTGGCACGCGCTACTCTTGTCGTTTTATACTTACAGTCCACATCAGTTTGATTCGAATCAATTAGTTCAATCGTTTCACTCACCTGAACTTTTTGTCGGATTTTGCCTTTTAAATGTTGGCACATTTGCCTCTAATTTTGGGCGACTTACATTGCGGAACCCACATGTTATGATTAATCTATGCGTAAGTTTGTTAGTGATACGAAATCAACAAAACGACATTTATTTACTTTCAAGTTCAGAGTTCAGTCAGTTTAAGCACGCCAACAGATAGCCCCGAAATTTAAGCTGATGTAATGTTACAAGAGCTTACAAAAGCCGAAGCAATAAACCACTTCTTACTTCCGATGTTAATGTTCCAACAGTTTTATTTCTAGTTTCGGATGTGTTTTTCTTTTATCTAGCTTAAAAAAGTTGCCATTTATTTCGGCCCAAAAGTATGCAATATAGTTGTCCATGTTTTAGAAAAATGTTAGGGTATAAAGATTAATATCTTAAGTAGAGGTAGACAGGATAGGAGAACCGAGTAATCCACACCAAAGGGTATTCAAGATGAGGTAGATCTAAGATCAAGCCGACTAATAATCAATCAACCAATTGAGTTCTTACTTGACTGAAAGTTAATAGCTATGGCAAAAATCTTTATTTTTGAATTTAATTTTAATTTGAATTTTGTTGGTCCAGATTTTTTTTTTTAAGGCGAAAGATTTATTCGACAATTGAAGAGAAACCAGATTTACTGAGCCAAATTAATACACCGATCGCAACTGTGTTCCAGTGTAGCAGTTTAGCCCTAGTTTATTTTTAAAAGAAACTTTAGAGAGTAGGGCATTATCATTAAGATGCGATTTACTGCACACTTACAAATATCAGTTAAGGGTGGCCTATCTTCCGGCAGCGCTCGGGATTATTGACCTTTAAAATCAAATACGATTACGTATCACACGGATAAGATATGTGTTACAGGAAAATCAGACTTACAGAATTATAAAATACATATCGTGCCCCAGTGGAAACCCAAATCCTTTGGATCCAGCCCCTTGGAGCCGCACAATGCAACTGCACGTCCATGGTGGGCAAATAGCCTCGATCACATGACACCTCGCAAATTGCATGTGGTTTGGATGGGCCATTATGGCAGCTTGCCGGAACGAAACTTCCATGGCTGGGTGATTTCAAAGCGGGACAACTTAGTGCGAGCGAGTCTATACATAGATAAATAGATCTATAGATAAAGTAACTATAATAAGGCTTGCAACTTCAATTAAACCAAAGTCACTCGAACCCTGTACCACGGATTTGCACTTACACACACACTTGGTCTCTGGGCTAGACCAAATTCCGGTGTGTCCACAACTTGCGAATTGTGAACCCTCCAACACATAGCCCGCGTTGCACGTAATATTGCAACGAGTGTGATTGAAGCCATTTTCGAGATACTTATAGCAAGAAGCCATTCCGTTGGTTGGGACCTTAAATTGAGGGCACATATCGCTGGTAGTTATATTGGTTTGTGGGTTGCCTAATGGAGCTTGGGAATCGAAAATACAACTCTGGCGATCATCGAGTAGATGATATCCTTGGGGGCAATGGCAAATATAGGAACCTATTGTATTCTCACACTTATGCTCACAATAGCGGTGAATCACTTGACCAGAATCTGGGTCTATATCCTCCAAATCGCATTCGTTAATGTCCTGGCACTCAGTCTCATCGGCGGACACCTTGAATCCGGGCAAGCACACTACGTCCCTCGCAATGAAAGGATCGCCATCGGGGGGTTCGACTCTGCCCACAATTGATGGAAGGCATTTGTATGTTCCATTTAGGTTCTCACATCCAGCGGTACAGTCCCAAGACAGTTCGGGATTGGCGCACTCGTCAATATCTAAAACGGGATACATTAATGTATTGCTTATTCAAGTAATAGAATGCATTTATTCAAGCACTTTAAGTACATACCCAAGCAAGTTTGTTCATCATTCTCGTCTATTTCGAAACCATCTATACAACTGCATAAGAATTGACCAGGCAAATTGATGCACTTTTGAGAGCAACCGCCATTCGATTCCTTGCACTCGTCGATATCTGAATTGGTAGATATAGCTTAGTATATTTGGGAGAAATTTGGTTTAAAAAAAGTGTACCTACCTTCACAGCTACTTAAATCAGTGGTATTTAGGAAATACCCGTCATAGCATTCGCATTTATGTTCATATTTGTTACATATATGAGCGCAACCGCCATCATCAATCCTACAGTTCTACAATGAAGGTGACATTAACTTATTTTATGCTCAACAGATCGGGTATTATGCTCAACATTACTTTGTATTGCTTCGTTGATCTCCTACGCTTCTTTATGCAAGTGGGCTTCTCACCAACCCATACCCCATTTTGGCAATAGAGTTCACTTTTTTTGGGATTTTTCAATCTGTAATTCTTCTTGCAGGAGTAAGTGACCAGAAGAAAGACATGTTCACCAGTTTTGCGTAATGCCACCGACGCTTTACTGTTTTTAAACTTAGGAGCACTTGAGCAATTTGTGCCATATTTAAAAGGCAAAACATTATAAAATGGCTGAGTCAATTCGGGAATGTCCGATGACCAAGCTGTAAAAGTAATTCATAAAAAAACATAAAAATTAAATGAAATTAATTTATAACGACCCTTGTATTAGAATACAATTTATGTATACCCTAAAGTACTTTTTATTTTTGCATTTTTTATTGTTAAACATCATTTATATTATTTTATGCAAAACAAATCAATTTTTTCCACCTATAATCTTTTTTTTTTATTATTAATTCTTAACTAAGCATTATAGATTTACAACTTACCTGTGCAGAATGCGACACACATAATTGTGTAAAAAACAAACAGAGACGCCGCCATTCAGTTTTGCATCTTATTATAAATGTTTGGAAAAAACAAAACAGAAGCATAAAGTAATCGTTTTGTAAATCAAATATTTCCATTGAGGCAGGCTTGCATAAAAACATCCGCCTAAAAGTACACACTTATTTAATGCAAAAAAAAGAGAGAATGCTATAGTTCAGTTCGACGACTATCAGATAAAGTGGAAGTGCAAACCTTCAACAATTTTATAATATTTTAATTGCCTACCTATAAACATGTATTTTTAAATAACAGCGTTCGACTTTTAAATTAAGTATCACAAAGAGTTAAGTAAAATAAATATAAGTAAAATATTTATATTTAGTATAAAGTTATATAATTATTATTATAAAAAATCATTCAAACAGTAAAACATTTATAACAATGAGATAATTTTAACAAGTTCACAACAGTTGCCATTAGCGCTGTGTAAGTATAACAAGTTCAACACTTTTAATATATATTTCTAAATCTAAGTTTAGTAAGCATTTTGAATCAAATTATAAAAAAAAATGAATTTAAAGCATTTTTTGGCGAACAACGTTTCGGTCGAAAGTAAAAACTACAACTGCTCAGGTATCAGGTTTGTTCGCTCGGTAGAGACAAGTTTACGAAGTTCTTTCGTGGAAATATTAATTCTGAAAATAAAAATTTTTTCATACTTATTTTTAAGTTTTAGTGATACACAGTTTTAATTTGTAGTCGCTCATATTCTGGCGATAAAAGGTAACGCAGAGCACTGATAAGATATGGCGATTATTATACCCGTTATAAATTATTATAAAGGGTATACTAGATTCGTTGAAAAGAAGGTAACAGGCAGATGGAAACGTTTCCGACCATATAAAGTATATTGATCTTGATCAGGATCAATAGCCGAGGATCAATGGCCATGTCCGTCTGTCCATATGAACGCCTCGATCTCAGGAACTACAAAACTACAATGTTGGAACTAAGCATTCCAGAGGCATAGACGCAGCGCACTCCTACGCCCACAAACCGCACAAAACTGCCACGTCCACATTTTCGAAAAATGTTTGGATATTTTTCATTTTTTATAAGTCTACCGCTCTACCGCCCACAAACCACCCAAAACTGTCACACCCACACTTTTAAACAATTTTTTTTTTCATTTCTTAATTTTATTCGCAATTTTTACCAATACTTCAGAAAATTATGAAATTTCTCTTTCGCACTTCCACTAGCTGAGTAACGGGTATCTGATAGTCGGCGAACACGACTATAGCGTTTATTTTTATTTTTTTTTTTTTTTTTGTAATTTTTCTTATATATGATGTAGAAATTCAAAAAATTAAAAAATGTCCCAGGGCTGAAGTTCTAAGCTCCATAACTCAACTTATTTTAATCGGATTTTGAAGTGGCATATCTCAAAATGTTTCTGTCGCAATTCTCTGAAAAACTGCATTCAAATTTAGAAATATATATTTTTTTAATTTTTTTGTAATTTTTCTGATGTTATGATGTTGTAGGAACTCAAAAAAATTAAGAAATGTCCTAAGGCTAAAGTTCTAAGCTCCATAACTCAACTTATTTTAATCGGATTTTGAAGTGGCATACCTCAAAATGTTTCTGTCGCAATTCTCTGAAAAACTGCATTCAAATTTGGAAATTTATTTTTTCAAAATTTTTTTGTAGTTTTTCTGATGTAGAAATTAAAAGAAAATTAGGAAATGTCCTAAGGCTAAAGTTCTAAGCTCCATAACTCAACTTATTTTAATCGGATTTTGAAGTGACATATCTCAAAATGTTTCTGTCGCAATTCTCTGAAATACTGCATTCAAATTTGGAAATTTATTTTTTCAAAATTTTTTTGTAGTTTTTCTGATGTAGAAATTAAAAGAAAATTAAGAATTGTCCTAAGGCTAAAGTTCTAAGCTCCATAACTCAACTTATTTTAATCGGATTTTGAAGTGACATACCTCAAAATGTTTCTGTCGCAATTCTCTGAAAAACTGCATTCAAATTTGGAAATTTATTTTTTCAAATTTTTTTTGTAGTTTTTCTGATGTAGAAATTAATAGAAAATTAAGAATTGTCCTAAGGCTAAAGTTCTAAGCTCCATAACTCAACTTATTTTAATCGGATTTTGAAGTGGCATACCTCAAAATGTTTCTGTCGCAATTCTCTGAAAAACTGCATTCAAATTTGGAAATTTATTTTTTCAAAATTTTTTTGTAGTTTTTCTGATGTAGAAATTAAAAGAAAATTAAGAAATGTCCAAGGGTTAAAGTTCTAAGCTCCATAACTCAACTTATTTTAATCGGATTTTGAAGTGGCATACCTCAAAATGTTTCTGTCGCAATTCTCTGAAAAACTGCATTCAAATTTAGAAATATATATTTTTTTAATTTTTTTGTAATTTTTCTGATGTTATGATGTTGTAGGAACTCAAAAAAATTAAGAAATGTCTTAAGGCTAAAGTTCTAAGCTCCATAACTCAACTTATTTTAATCGGATTTTGAAGTGACATACCTCAAAATGTTTCTGTCGCAATTCTCTGAAAAACTGCATTCAAATTTGGAAATTTATTTTTTCAAATTTTTTTTGTAGTTTTTCTGATGTAGAAATTAATAGAAAATTAAGAATTGTCCTAAGGCTAAAGTTCTAAGCTCCATAACTCAACTTATTTTAATCGGATTTTGAAGTGGCATACCTCAAAATGTTTCTGTCGCAATTCTCTGAAAAACTGCATTCAAATTTGGAAATTTATTTTTTCAAAATTTTTTTGTAGTTTTTCTGATGTAGAAATTAAAAGAAAATTAAGAAATGTCCAAGGGTTAAAGTTCTAAGCTCCATAACTCAACTTATTTTAATCGGATTTTGAAGTGGCATACCTCAAAATGTTTCTGTCGCAATTCTCTGAAAAACTGCATTCAAATTTAGAAATATATATTTTTTTAATTTTTTTGTAATTTTTCTGATGTTATGATGTTGTAGGAACTCAAAAAAAATTAAGAATTGTCCTAAGGCTAAAGTTCTAAGCTCCATAACTCAACTTATTTTAATCGGATTTTGAAGTGGCATACCTCAAAATGTTTCTGTCGCAATTCTCTGAAAAACTGCATTCAAATTTGGAAATTTATTTTTTCAAAATTTTTTTGTAGTTTTTCTGATGTAGAAATTAAAAGAAAATTAAGAATTGTCCTAAGGCTAAAATTCTAAGCTCCATAACTCAACTTATTTTAATCGGATTTTGAAGTGGCATACCTCAAAATGTTTCTGTCGCAATTCTCTGAAAAACTGCATTCAAATTTGGTAATTTATTTTTTCAAAATTTTTTTGTAGTTTTTCTGATGTAGAAATTAAAAGAAAATTAAGAAATGTCCAAGGGTTAAAGTTCTAAGCTCCATAACTCAACTTATTTTAATCGGATTTTGAAGTGGCATACCTCAAAATGTTTCTGTCGCAATTCTCTGAAATACTGCATTCAAATTTGGAAATTTATTTTTTCAAAATTTTTTTGTAGTTTTTCTGATGTAGAAATTAAAAGAAAATTAAGAAATGTCCTAAGGCTAAAGTTCTAAGCTCCATAACTCAACTTATTTTAATCGGATTTTGAAGTGGCATACCTCAAAATGTTTCTGTCGCAATTCTCTGAAATACTGCATTCAAATTTGGAAATTTATTTTTTCAAAATTTTTTTGTAGTTTTTCTGATGTAGAAATTAAAAGAAAATTAAGAAATGTCCTAAGGCTAAAGTTCTAAACTCCAGAACTCAACTTTTCTTAATCGGATTTTAAAGTGACATATCTCTAAATTTTTCCAGCGAAATTAACTAAAAATATTCATTCAAATATAGAACATTTTTTAATTTACATTTTTAGTAATTATACAAAAAACTTTTTGTCACTCCGACTCTAACGCCCCCAAACCGCCCAAAACTGTTTCGCCCACACTTTTGAAAAATGTTTTGTTATTTTTCCACTTTTTTATATATCTTGTAAATTTCTGTAGATTTGCTAAAAAAAACTTTTTGGCACGCCCACACTTTTAAAAATGTTTAAGTTTTTTTTTCATTTTTATAATTTGTTTGCCAATTTCTACCGATAGACCAGAAAATGTTTAAATTTCTCGTTTGCACTTCCACTAGCTGAGTAACGGGTATCTGATAGTCGGGGAATCGTCTATAGCATTTTATCTTGTTTTAAATGCGTTGTTTGGAAAACAACATTTCGATCGAAGGTAGAAACTACAACCGTGCAGACCCCAAAATATTATCTTTTGTTACCCATTATTCTTCGGGTATACGGTATATAGCATTTTCTGAAATGAATTAAACTTAAGTGTTAAATTATGTTACTTAATAATATAAGCTGACCATACATCAATACAACTCTCAATCAATCCAAATCAAATGCGCCGCTGCAACTGCTCGCCATATTGTAAATGGGTTTTAATTAAACGAAATTAAATACAATAGGAATCCAGCGTAGGTGTGTTACTTTTCGTCTTATTTGGTAGGCCGAGCAAACATGTTACATGTTACATGTTATATATACTTTTTTTTATATATTACTTATATACAAATATATAAGTAACTATCTCAGTTATGGCTACCTATGCCCAACATTGCGATAGAAAACCAAAATTACTTATTGTACGAAAATTGTCATTGGTGAATTGCATTTCAAGTGACATCGATTCCGGTCGAAACAACTGACAAAATTCGCCATAATCTTCATTCCATTGGGTTGCAGATTGGCTCGGCTTGCTTGCGCGCTAGTTCCCAGTTAACGATGTTGTCAAGTGGGAATGTTAAAATACAAATACGGTTACGCAGAGCACTGATAAGATTTGCATAACTCACGTTTACTTTGATAAAGGTACCTTTACCCGTTACTGGTCTAGTAAAAGGGTATAATAGATTCGTTGGACAGTATGTAGCATGCAACAGGCAGAAGGCAGCGATTTTACTACGCTGCACTCAGAATACAAGTGTGATAATCGCTGAACGATTAAAACGCTGGAAAATCGCTCCCACGCTTTTCTTCAAATATTGTGGGCGTGTGATTCTCGTTACTTTGTATGGTCAATTTGAACTAAATTATTTTTTCCAGCTCTATTTTCTGGCTAGTTCCATGAGGTCCACGGGTGTAACTGTTTCCGTGTAGGTTTTGGCTCAAAGCTGTTGTCGTTTATTGGCCCATGTACATTTTAAATTAACCTTAGTTGGCAAATAGCGGATATCGCTCGAGGGCGTAAGTAGTACACTACCATATGAAAGATACTGAATAAAAATACTCAGAAGATAAAGACAACATTTGAGCGGATACTTGTGTTTGGCCAGACGATGTCTTTTTCCTTTTTTTGCGACTTGAGTCAATTTAGGTTGACATTTTCTTGGGCATTGTTTTAAAGCTTCGAGTCGAGCGGAGAACTTCCGTTGGCGGTTGGGAAAATGAATGAAACCACTTCCAAATAAGACCGTCTGAATTCATTATTAATAAATTATACTTTTTTTTTTATTTAACTAAACAAACGTTGCTTTGTTAATTACAAAAAGAGTCCAATTCTAGTCTTAGATGTATGTGCATTACTTTTGTCTTAATTTTAGCTCCAACAGAAAGTAACTAAGAACAAAACACGGAGTTACGATGCTATAAACTTGGATTAGTTCTTGATGCTTAGATACGAAGGTCCCACTTGGCGGACGTACACGGTCCGCTCGTTGGTCAAATACGGCGGACACTTGACGGTGAGTATGCCATCGGAGGACAGTTCCGATCGGACATCGTTGGGATAGTATCCTCGTGGCAGGACGAACCGCTTGACGATGTGGCGACCCACGAAGGTGTCACCATCCCGTCGCTTCTCGTGCTTGGCCTCCACGACCACAGTGTCGCCCGAGGTCTTCACGCTAATCTCGTAGGGCTTGAACAGGTGCACATCCACATTGGCCTCGAAGCCATCCTTTCCCACGATGACTCGACTCAGATCGGGTGCGGATCCAACGCGAGATAGTGACCGCTTCCAGTAGGGCAAATCCCAGTCGTTCAGATCCCAATCGCGCCACAGCCGACGACGATAATCCCAGTAATCCCAATCCGTATTGTTTGTAGCCGGCACTAGAGCCATTTTGTAATTGGGTTTTTCCTTGGGACAGGACCAACAGCAACGCTAGATCGTATTTAATTTTCACTTATCGCGTTTTCTGACAGACGTCCACTCGCGTTTTCTGCTCTGAGCAAATTAAACTTGGAAACGATAGTAGTCGCCGCTTATATAGCCATAAGCTTCGCCCCGTGGGATCAGCTCAGCTCTACAGAGATTCTAGTCAATAGCCAATGACAGTTGTGACGTAGTAGCCACACTGTTAAAAAAGCGGCTTAGATGTAAGGAATTCAGTAACAGTAAATGGAATATAATATAACAGAGTAGTAAACTGGTTTGCTGCATCTGATATGTAATATGTCAAATTTAAGTTTTCAAGATTTGAAATTTAATACTAAATTTTGTTTTGCAGTGGATCACTTGCAGTTACAGTGGCGTTAAAGCTGGGCGATGTTTTCGATTGATTATCTTTGCATTGACTGCTGTATATAAGGAAATGGGGCTGTGGGTCGAAAAAATGTCTTTGCATGTTATTTCCTTGAGGCGCTCGAGATCAAATGTTGGGTGGGTTGGGTTGCTTTGCAGATTTGCTTCCGTAGAGGCAATTTCCCAAAGGTACTGGTAAGCACCTTGGATGGTTATTATAGAAACAGCTAGCTGTGATGCATTCATTAATTCAGTATATTTAAACGAAGCTGAAAATCGTTCGTGTGTTTTATCAAGCCCATAAATGTATCTCTTACTTTCTCATGGCGCAGATGTCTTCATGTATCCTTCCTTATTTGTTTATGTTTTTCGCTTTCATTTAGCAAATCAGTCTCCCATATCGGCAACGCCTTAAAAACGGTGGAAGCATGCCAACAAGTTTTCGCAGCATTAGTACTTTGAAATTAATTACTCTCCGCTTCCGGTTGCAAATTAAAAAAAAAAAAAAACAAATCAAAATCAAAGCAAGCCCAAAAAAACTAACAGATTTCTTTGACGGAAGTACGAATTTCGTATGATTCTTTTCACCTTTTGACCAAATACGGCTTTAAATGTTGTACAAGATAGAAATGAACAGAGCTACGCGGATTACAGATACACAATCTATAGATACAGCAACATAAAAGGGTTGTTTTTTGACGATTTTAGTCGTGCAGATTAGTGCATAGAAGCGACATCTACGGAACATTTATGGGCCTGACCTGCCCGCCCCTCTTTATAAAGCCCGTGCCCGTAACGTAACACAATCATCGGATTGGGATTGGCCCACCCCATTATGTCGCTGTAATTTGTTGTTCCAGCAGTTGGTGTTGTTATGGCTGTTGTGGAAATGGATTTTGTTTGTGTTTTATAATAATTATAACAAGCTTCGCAGTTTCGCAATTTAGATGCCATTTAAGCTTGTATTTGTACATTAAGTCATTTGACATCGGACTAGTTCAATAGGTTTGTGATGCAGCACATCGATAGACAGTCGAAGGCACACAAATAGCTATTTTGGGTCAATAAATAAGTTTAATTATAAGTTTAAAATATAATCCAAAATGATATGCATAATAGCACAGGCAGAGAATATGCATTTTTATAGAAATAGCAGACAGACAAAATGCGTAAAAACAGAATGTGGGATTTACTAGTTAAAAATGTGTTTCTCTATTTTTCATTATCAGTGTAAGTCAGTGTAAGGAAAATTTCTCGATTGAAAGCCAATTGAAGTGCCGCAGCTGGCTGAACAGCAATACATTAAACGAAAACAAAGCAATTTACTAATTTGCTTGATTTTATGGCAAAATCGAATGAAAATCAGAATTAAATCCCTGAGGGTGTGGGTTGTGCACAACTTTCTTTGGCATCGATTGTGTGTGGGGAATTATCTAAGATATAATAGAGATATAGGTGCAAACATGATTAGCATAGCACACCCACCACGACCTTCCTCATTTATTTCGAGCTGCGCGGTCATTCCCCCGATTTTCAATTTTACGAATAGAAATGTTTCATCGTTTTCCATTTAAACGTATGGCAGTGGGCCAAACTTTCACTTTGATCGGAAGCATATGTCTAAATATATTCTCAGAATAGAACCAAATGGAATGACTAAGAGTCATTCATAGATAGTTCATTTCCATGAAAAAACATTAGGTAAACAAAATGTCATAATTATTCGAAATTACTTATTACCTCTTCAGCCTATAAGTATGCTATGAAAATTTGAGACGCTCATGGCAAACGTGTCGTATAAGTAATGCCTGTAAATTCCTGCAAAAAAGGTCGGCAAAATGGCAAGCAAATTAAGTCTCGGAAATCAATAAGGTACATCGCTCACGTGGTAAATGAAGTCGCCGCGCGAAGAAGTCGACCGTAACTACAAATGACCCCCGAGACACTAAACATTCAGCCGCAAAAGGGCAACAAACAGGTGCAGGAGCAGGTGCATTCGACCTGGCCAACAGGCCACTGCATTGCGACGCCTGCCGAGGGGAAAGAGGGAAAGAACTCTGTGGCAGGGGCGAAACACAAAGCATGTGGAAAACGAAAGCAAAAGTTCAAGTCGGAGAAAAAGACAAGACGAGGAGCAGCCAGCAGGACTTAAACCCGTAATTGGCCAAGCGAAGTGAACACTGCAGGTCGCAGGTTGTAGGTCGCAAGTTCCAGGCCCAAAGAATAGGTCCCCAAAAAGCAGCCGCAATAATAGTTGCCACAACAGGGCCAGAAAACTGGCAAAGTTATCCCAGGGAAAGTCTAAGGAATGGGACAGAGAAGCCGATCCTGATATACCCTAAAGCAATTTAAATACAATGATGAAAACTGTTTCTCTAAACAAAATATTTGTTATTTCACTTTAAACCAGGTCATTTAAAAAGAAAATTTGTATAAATAAAATAATACCAAAAATGAGATTTCAGGTTAAATCAACTGAATATTCAGTTGAGTTCAGTCAGATAGAAAATGTATTTTCGTATTTACCGAGCTAAATAGATATCGCTTTTCATGTAACCAATGAATTGGAAATTCATATAAGTCACATAAAAATTATAGGTTACATTAAATAAAATACAAGTCCACAGGACTTGCAATGAGTAAGCACTGAAACTATTGTTATTAAATTACTGTACAATATATTATAGCGCTGCAGAACACATACCCACATTCTTTGAGATAGTTATCATGCCCAGAGGCAACCTTCAACAAAATCCAGAACTGCAACCACATTTCGAAACTCGCCCATTATGCCGCAAGTCACGCCCATCGAAGGCGAAGGCTCGCCCTTTCGTCCTGTCGCCGCACTTCTTTGCATACGAATGAGGGACTTATTTATAGCGGTGTAGGCAGGACTCTAAAGGATTGCACTGTGGCCGTAGGAGGTGGACGTAGAAGCCAGAAGGCGTACAAATAACGCTTGGCCCGGTCTATTATTCTATTTTTGTTTTGGCTATTGAACCCAATGGACGTGCTGGCCAAACAACGCCAAACACAGAAATGGAAAGTGCTGGATTGACATATACACACGTTACTTTTCTTTACAGGGTATGCGGTTACAGGACTGCAGTTCATTTGAAATTCCACGACAAATTTCATGACGAGATGCACACGGCCTAAGGGCACTTTATACCAACCTTATGAGTCACCAAAGGTCAGCGTTTACAATAAAAAACTGGCCTACTTTCACTTGAAAATTTGTAAATGCCTTCGGACAGTTTTGAGTGTCAGTTGGCCAAAAAAAAAACAGAAAGCGGCAAGACAGCAAAATTAATGCAAGTGACAAGTGTTGTGTGAAGGACGCATTATGACCTTGCATGTCCGGCTGTCAGGGCCAAAATGAAAGAAAAGCTTTGTTGGCAATGAAAACTGTATTTTATTTGTGTCAAATTGGGCGATAAAAGGCCATGCTTTACGAAATTCGCGTTCTGCTCAATTAAAAAGGATTTGGAAATTAGTACCTAAAAACCTTTTATGCTTAAGTTTATTCCTTACGATAGTCTGGAAATGAAACACCCTCTCCATTTTATATATATTTTCGCATATTTATTTATTGAATCTCAAGTTGAATATGATTTAGCTGAAATCTATTGTATTGGAATGATATGCGTTGAGTGTTTTCTTTGTTGATAAAGTATGTAGTTACGAGAGGTTTTCCATTGCCATGCAAATGATCGTGTTCTAGAGAACGTCTAAATTACTTTGGTTATATTGGTTAGATGAGTGATTGGCCGAGTTGGCCAATGCTGAAATGTTTTTCCATCTAGATAAAAGTTTGTCAAGAGCTACTGGCAAAAATCGTTATTCCAAACTACAGCTAGGTAATTTTTATTAACATTTTGTTTGTGGCATATTTGTGGTTTCGATTTGGAGCTCTTAGGTATTACAATTATCTGAGAAATATGATGCTGAGTTTCGACTTCAATTTTTGTGTTGCAATAAAGCTATGAGTTTTGAGACATACATAGATATATTTTCCGTACTTGTATTTTATGTTTTGCGATTCTAAACTCTGAAAAGTGCAAACAGTGTGACTACACATACAGTATAGATATATATATAAAATGATCTTCTTGATTAGTTGTAAATACATTTGAAATATTTTAGTTTTCAACATTTAGAATATATTTAGAACACGCAAGAGAATATCTGACTACAAAACTATAAATATATATTTATTCTGCTATATCTGTACTCCAGCTTTCAACTAGACGCAAGCACCGCCAACGTTTTTCGTTTACAATTCTGCTACAAAATCTTATTTGCGTTTCATTTTTTCCTGCTTCGCTTTTTTTTACTAATTTGAAATTGGGACCAAGGTCTTCTGTGTGTTTGTCCTTAGCCGTAGTTTGCTATTGACTTGTTTACAGTCCCCCGAAAAAAGGAAATTGAAAACATGTTTCACTCTTTACGGACCCCACTGCCGCCCCCATTCCACCCTTTAAGCCCAAACACTTGCCGACATTGTGCAAAAGTTCCCCCAGCTATTTCAGAAAATTTCCTTTTTTTGCCAACAGTTTTCAGTTGGCTGGCAAAAATGTGAGAAAACCAAACTTTCCTGTGTCTGCGTGAAAATGAAACATTGCTATTGGTGTATCTTTGTTGCTGTGTGTGTGTGTTTCAGAAGACCCATTAAATTAGCCCGCAATTTACTTGGCTTAAAACAGCTAACAGCGTTTATAAAATTTCGAGGAATTTCAAGCTCAACCAGTACCCTAAAGTCGGTCACAATGTAAATGAAAATTTTTCTCGTTAAATTAATTAGTAAAACGGCAATAGGTTTATAAAATTCTCCCTGAAAGTATTATAACTCTTTCGTTGAAATAAAATACGTAGTGCTTAGAGGTTTCGGTTCAGCTGGAAATTCCTTCTTTTTTTTTTTGATTTAATCAAACATTCCCAGTACTAATATAATATCCATATATAAGTTATATCGTTTGCTTGGTATCAAAAAATTGTATAAAAAATGTTTGCTTAACAAATTCCTGGAATCTTCTTATTTTGGTATAAATCTGGCTTTTAAAAATTGTGTGTGTTTGGTTTGCAAAAATTTTTTCGGTGTTGGTTTAATAGTTTATCGTTATTTATATTCTATTGGTAATATCCTTTATGCTTTAAGCTTCAAATTGCTTTTGGCCTGTATTTTCTTGAAAATTGTGGCTACGGAATATTTGCAATGAAAAATTCCTGCTGAGCAGGATTTCAAAATGAATATAAATTTCTTTTAAATTTGCTGTCTTAAAATAATTTAGTAGTTTAGTAAAGGAAATTTTAAAATATCCAGTACAATGTTTAGTTAAAAGAATAAGTTTTCCAAAACGGAAACAAAATAATACAAAATAAACAAAATATTTTGTATGCAAACAATAGGTTTAAGGAATTTAGGAGAATTGATTACAATGCCCTGTTTTCATTACCAAATTTGATTTCCAGTGCAAAACAAAATCGGTAGCCCTTCCGAATCCATTTCGATAAATTCCAATAATTCAATCAAGCCAGTGGTTATCCCAGTGCAAAATCATATGCCAAATATATCGTATACACCCCTGACTGCGAATCGGAGTCGGTCGAGTAGTAGGCCGCCTAGTAGGCGATCCTGCCCAGACGCGTGGAGGGCAGCGAGGCGGGTTCCGAGTTGGGAAGCTCCCCGCACCGCTGGAGCCAACTCCAGGCCTGGCCACAAACGACGCCGACTCCGGCCAACATTCAGAAGCAGTTGCTACGCCGCTTCGACGTGGTCGTATCCGTGTCCGTGGTTGCGTTGGTCACGGCTCCACTGGTGGCCGTGGAGCTGATGGTGGAGGTCCTGGTGGACATCGCTGCTGGCAGCAGCCGGGCCGAGTTCTATGTCTTCTTCAGCGGCTGACCCACTGGCACATTGGCCTTGGGGGTGCGCGACTTCTTCACCAGAAAGCAGGTGAGGAACTCAATGGGCGAGGGTATCTTCTGGAGGCTCTCCTCCGAACTGGAGCTGGACTTGTGGCTCTCGGAGCGTGCATTGCTGCACTTGACCTTGCCACTGGCGCCGGGTCCGGTCTCCAAGGCGTGCCGATAGTAGTTCTTGCAGCACTTCTTGGACAAATTATACATGCGCACCGTGCGATCGATGTTCTCATCGTCCTCATCCTCGCCAGCTTTCAGATTCAGACCCAATCCACCAACACCCACATCGTGCGAGTGGGAATTGACCATGCCCAGTCCTTTGCGAGCAGTGGCGGCAGTGGCAGTTGCACTCGTTGGCTGCTGGGGATCCGATATCGTTTGGCTGGTCTGCTGTACCAACTGCTGTGGCAACTTCATCTGCTCAACGGGCTGGGCATCCTCCACGGGCGGCTCCTCCTCCTCCAGATTGTTCTGGGAGTCATCGTAGAACTTATAGCTGCGGTAGCGAGTGTGCCTGTTGCCCGCTGTTTGGGACCAATCGCGACCCGATCCCGTCCAGTCGGTGCTGGCGGGCAGGGACAACTGGATGGTGGGTGTGCGATAGTACTGGCGGTGCGGATGGAAGCCCAGGCCAAAGTCGTCCATGTAGGACTGTGAGTGTATGTTGTCCAGCTCGTCGGCGACGCTCAGCAAAAAGGGTAACGTCGACATTGTTGTTGATACTTCGGGTGTTACTTTCTCTGCGTTTTCAGCACACCGTCTTTTTTTGGGACCACCAAAAATGTAGGTATCTATGCTAGGTCCGAGGGATTAATCTCCCCTTGCCGCACACACTTCTCTCCCAACAAAACTGCACTTGTTTGCTTATTTACTTTTCTCTATTTCTAATTTCTCTGTTTTGTGTTATTTGTAATTTTGTATGATTTTTTTTCTTTTTTGCAAATTTTCCACTGCGCTTTTCACTCCGGTCAACACGACTGCACGGACTCGAAACTGAAACAGAACTGAAGGAAAATGCAATTTTCAACTGGCACACGACGTCGCATTTATGTTCATCGTCATGATGATGATGATGATGGGGAAACTCCTTCGTGAGTGAGAGAAAGCATTTCTCACAACGCTCTCCATCTCTCTCTCTCGGGCTTTGCCCATTACACTCTCACTCTCTCACACTCTCACTCTCTCACTCTCTCTCTCTGTTTTGGTCACGCGCTGAGGAAAACCCGATGCAATCACTGGATTTGGGTTTATGTTTTGATTTCGCCGTTGCAACGCGGCGTATGCGTGATATTTTTGTTAGCGACCCGAGGCAAGGCGGCGTATGCGTGATATTCGGTGATTCGGTGGGTGGCTGGTTGGGCTGCTCAAGGGATTTTCCAGTTCGCGCCTTATTGTCATTAGTTGGCGGTTCTGGGCATCGCCAACTGCCTGATTCGTTTTGGCCTCCAACGTCTACTCTGCCGCATTTTAGGTTTCACGTTTTTCATGCTTTTTCAAGCGCGTCCCTGGATGGCAGAACGAAGGACATTGAAAAGGGAGGGGTGGGGGGGGATGTCCTACGGCCCTGCAGCCCCTGTGTGTGTCTGTATCTGTGTGAAGGTAGCAGGAGTGGGTGGCGAAATCTTAGTGCGCAATAATTCATTTGTTGGCACAACTGTGAGCTGTGAAGGCTGCGTGTTTGGAAATTGCCGTTAAATCAATTCAATTTTGGCTCGTTAAATCCTCACTTAGGGATGTGGATAACGTGTTGAAGTGAACGATTTCCTGAAAAATAGGATCTTATCCTCTAGTAACTTAAACTAACACAGTTAGGTAAATAATGGTCAGCTTAAGATAACTATGTGCATAAGAAATCGGTTTTAAAAGTAGGCAGCAAGCTACCAACTCAATTAAATTTTTTTACTAGACCCACTGAATTATCCTGAGTTCATACGAACTCCTGCTTCATTTATGAGCACAGCCAAGCGACGGAAATCGAGAGATAAAATGGAAAACGGGATATTCGAGCTCTAAATTGGCCTGGGCCAAAAGGACATGAACAGCAGCCCTTGAGCGGCCAAAAGCCAGTGAGCAACTGCAGCACAGCACAGCACACACACACGCACACGCACACAAAAAGGATATGCATATATGGGCAGATATCCAGTTGAGTGTCCTGTCTGGCAGTTAGAGGCACTTAAGCCTGCGGTGAGCGCCTGTCGTTCGTCCTTTGTGCCACTTATTGAGAGCAATAGACAGCGAGAGAACGAACGAGAGACCCAGCTGGAAAAGGAGGTGCAGGGCATAAATCTTTTAGCACTTTATTTGACACACTTTCAGGCCGGAAAGCGGACAGAATATCGGACGGCCTGATGGCCGGAGAGACACATAGACAGACGGCCCAAGGGCCAGAACGGAACGTCACATGCTCATCAATCGGTCGCTCACATTGGCAACAATACAGAGTGATGTCCATGTACCTTAAAGAGGCAGTACACCGAAAAAAATGAAACGAAACGTATCTGTATACGACCAGGTATGTTCTTTAAGAAATTCTTGTAACAGGAATCACTTGTTATTGTACAACTTCATGGAACTTTTAGAAATAAGACTTCGTCTAACATTTTTTGTACAGGTAAATGGGTACTATGACAGGAACCCTTCATTAATATTCTGCTTTCGACATGATTTCCCTTGATATTCCCTTTTTCTGTCAGTGCACAGAGGTTCAGAGACTGGCAGACGACGACAGTTGACGATAAGCGGTCGAGTGACTGAATCCTTGTGTGCTCCGCAGCCCGTTTTCCCCTTTTGTTGGCTGCCTCGAATGTTGTGACTGCCTTTGGCTTGTTGTTGGCCAAACAAACAGTGACGAGAGAAAAAGGTGGGGAAAGCGGGGAGAGGGCCCAGAGAAGCGCCAGAACCTTCTTCACGTTGGCCTCTTTTGACTCTAGCCCTTCTTCTCGCTTAATCCATTTAATTGCATTTTTTTCGTACATTCTGCTGCAAGCAGTTAAGCTGCCCCCTTTGTTCTTGTGCATTCCAGTGTGCACGGGGCGTATGTGGAACGTGGGAACGAAGTACGCATACGCCCCAGTAACCCACACATCGGTGCATTCAAATATTCATTTGCAATTTGGTGGCTAATGAAAATTCGTTAGAAATGCATTTCGAAAGCCACCCAATAGCCATGTAGCCATGTAGCCATGTAGCCAAACAGCCGACTTGTCCTTGTGCCAGTTTCAATCCAACTCTTCCGACTGAACGACTGTCTGACGTTTCGTATCAAATTATCTATAAATTGCGATTGCCTAGGCACGCCATCAATACGAAGGAAATTCCACCGACCGGAAATGTGGGAGGAGATGGGTGCTTACATCCAGTTCGTGTTTGCTGATTGTTCCTTTTTGCCTTACATTGTCGTGTGAAGTTTTTCATATCACTCCATTGAACATATGCACGGATAGCTAGTGATGGCAAATGCCTAAATGGTAATATATATCACAAAGGCTAAAATAAATGTATATGAGAACGGAAGTTCGACTAGTCATTTTTATTGATATCCAATTACTAACCAAATTTTTTTAAATTAATTAATAATTGGTATATTGTTTGAGCAGTATAAATTTATGGAATAAATAACTAGTTTGATTCTCATCACTGCACATACAGCATTTACTCATACACCAGTGCAATCAATTTGCCAATGGGAAAATAAACAACAAAATACTTAAAAAAGGAGAAAAAGGACGTAAAACTGGCTTTTGCCAAGTCTTGCCATTTGCCCGAGATTTGAATTTAATTTTGAGGTCAGACAAAGGCAAAGAGTTTTGGGCCGTAGAGGTTGTTTGTGTGGCTCAAGTGTTGCCTGCATAAAAAATGCAATAAATATTTAAATTACTATATCCACATGCTGCACGCAAGTGGAGAGCAAACTCACAAGGGGGCTTTCCACAGGGATGGGAAATGGGGGGGCTTCTCGAAAAAGTAGGCTAAATGTGGATCGCACTACAAAATAATTAAAAGAAATGTAGCAAGGGAATTGAAATGAGTGTCGAGTGTGAGAGTCGCATTAAATGTTAAGGAATTGGCAAGGGCTTCGTTTTATTTCAACTGAGTACTGTGGGACTTGGGAATAAAATTAATTCTGCGACACGAATAAATAATACACTAGATAACACGATGATATAGTTTTAATAATTTATTTATACTACTATAACTTGTTAAGGACTTTTGACATACTTTTTAAGCACCACAACATGCGTCAGTATAATTTACTATCACTCGACAATCCCCCTAATATTGTTTTTAATTTGGCATACATTTTATATTCAAAGCTTTACATTTTTGCACAATATTCGAATAATTTAAGCGAAGAACAACAGCAACAAAACATAATGGCAATAACAAAAACTGAATGGACAACAATCGTTCAAGTTCAACAAAAGCTTCACCCGCATTCGAATCCAATCGCTTTGGGTTTTGCTTACAAGTTTTTACACATAAATTTCACGGCACGCACAACAAAACCGAAAACCTGTTAATGCGTTTGTCCAACAAAATTTTGGATACCAGAGGTTGGGGTCTTGCACCCACGCCAACTTCAGAGAGTCGAGAAAGAGAGACTCCAAGCCCAAAGAGCCAAAAAAAGAGTTTGACTAACTTGGAAGAGACTCAAAGCGGCCAAAGGGCCTAACTACAAGGGTTTCGTATTAAATATTACTATGCCATTATTTCAGCCATCATAATTAAAACAGTTTACGTATTGTGATCTTGGCTAGAACACTTTATTGTTCATACACGTAGGTACTATAAATGCCATCTTATCTTTCTAATGCATCAAAATGGATTTTACTACAAATTGCACTATTCTAGAGCAACTGATTGATAGCCTTAACCAAATCCATAGGCGATTCGGTTCAATTAAACAGAGTGCATCATTAAAGCTTCTGTATGGCAATAAATTAGTGTAATTTCAAGGTCATATTCAGCCCACCCCCTAAGATACAACAGCGGTTTTCAATTTGGGCAAAACAAAGTCGCTTATAAACGGCTCATCCATAATTTAGCGAAATAAAAATGTATTTTTTTCAGCTTTTGTAATATTTCTACAAAAGCTGAAAAAAATAACTCGAGCAACTAACTGCAGACATGTTGCTCATCAGCGGTCCCAAAAAAAAAACTTAATGAAAAGCCCTCGACAAAAGTTTCGAGCAGCGTTGCGCATGCGCTCTTTCATTTTGAACTCTCTGCGATCGCTTGAGGTTGGCTTAGGGCTTTTTGGCCAAAAGAAAAAAAAAAAAAAACTACATCCAACTGCTGGCGGCCGAAAGCCATAAGTCACAGCATTGTCATCGCAGCTTGGCCTGAACTCTGGCAGTCGTCAGCGGTTGTCTCGAGCGGTTGGATCTCCGGTTTGAAAAACTGAAAAAGCACTGCAGCAGATTGCCAAGAAAATATCAATAGAAAATCACACTTGGCACCATCAATATCAGGCTTCATAACAAAAGTGCGGTGGAAATTGTTGTGCTATTCCGCTGATTCATTTCGCTTTGTGGCGGAAGTTTTTCCCCATTTTTCTACGCTCGCGTGCGGTCATTAATTTGAATGCGCCGCTGATTTTAATCGCAACCAAAAGCCGCCCACCATTTTCCGGCCAAGTTCGCTTACGTTACGTTACGTTAACCAAGAATCAAATAAATATGTGCCACCATTAGTCGCGATTGTCATTTGGCCGGCGATTCTTCGATGGGGAAGACGGGCAAAAAGAAGACGATTCCTTTGGCGCGTGTGAAGTTGTGACTCGACCCAATTAGGCAAAAGCGCAAATAATAATTAACAAAAAATATTTTAATTATACCAGCTGATGGCGGAAAAAAGCTTTCACTGCAACACCGCAGCCAAACCCGTTTTCGTACTTAAAAAACCTGCACATCTACGCATACGCTTGCTGTTGTTGCTCTCACTATAAGGGACATAATAAGATATAGTAAAGCAGCCGCTTCGCATCGCATTCGGCAA